CTGGTTTGGAACGGACATGCAATGGGCATCCTTTCGACGCCCAATTTGATGTAAGTGAGACACGAAAAATGGACGCCCATGTTGTGTCCATTTCGTGTCCTAATTTTGTTCACGAAAAAGAATGTCCAAAGGATGCTCAAATAGTGTTTTACATAAAAAAATAATATAACAAAATTTTAAGTACCATATATATATATATTATATAGTATATGTTTGCCGCCAGTAGTTTAACAGGACCATTTTTTACACAAAATGTATTTTAGCGGGACATCTGTCTCTTAAAAGGTCCGACCTGCTAATTTTTTTCATGTTTCGTATTTTAGTGGGACCGTCCTGATAAAACCTATTCCGACCACAACGTATTTTATCGGTACCTTGTAAAATTTCGTGTTCTTCTAAAATATGATGGGTATATACATTAAGTTTTTTTACTACACAGGTCATTATCAGAACCGTTTAATTATTAATATATTAATCTCTGAATACTATTTATAAAAGACATTACGCATACGTTATGTGAATTTTAATAAACTTTTCAGTGAAGACATTTAAAAAATTTTTAATATAGATAAAAAACATAAAATCTATAGAATTGTATACATAATAAAGAGAGAAAGAAATCAACGTTTCCCACAATTTAAATAGTATATACTAGCAAACGCACGTTTTGTTCGCGTTATTTATGTTTTACTTTTTGATGATGACAATGAGCTGTTCATTTGAAGTAATATAGATACTAATGATACTTGAGATACTTATAGATAACTTATACTTATACTTATACTTCTATAGATACTTTTGTCCCCGGTCTTCCCTATTCTTACATTTTAATAGCAATGCATTGCTAATGTTCTAGTTTTATGGCGCCAGAAACTCGCCCTTCATCCTTTCCCGTTAGCGTTATCCAGGGGCCACCGACGAGGAGGTGGGAATAGGATTTGGTAGCAGAGCTCTTTGTGCGACACTTTGTGTAAGCACTGAGAGGGCTTTACTCTAGGTTTTGTTGCCACACACCCTTCGGCAGCGTGTGTGACCCCAGAGACCCATGCT